AAATATATATATATAAAATTTTGTATTCAATTTCTTTACTTTAAAATTATAACTTCAAACAACAATTTACAAGAATCTATTATTTACTTTTTCGTTTATAATAAATATTATAAAATGACAATATCAAAATATTATGTATTATATAATCCTGTTACATATTATATTATTATGATCCTATATTATAAAATCCTATTACTTTACTTACTATGTAAAAATTACAAAATCAGAATTTTATAAGCGTCATAATTAAAAAAAACCTGCCTCTTACTCATCATTTTTATTTATAGATGCGCAAATATAATAAAAATGTGTAAAAGGGTTGAATGGGGAAGTAAAGAGAAAATAAGGGTGAAAACACAAGAAACGTAAAAGCGAATGCAACTGAGAGTACGACAGATACAAAAAAAAATCCAATAAACGGAAAAAGCGAGAAAAATAAAAAGGAGCGCGGAAGATAGGAAAGATGAGAAAAAGAGGGTAGAAAAATGAAAAAGTCAAAAAGGGGAACGAAAAGGAAGTGATAAAGTTGATCACGTGATCCAAGATGGACACCCGAACGGTCGACCCACCTGCAGGCAAAGGTCGAAGTCAGGGCACTCGTTACACTTGACGCGTAGACCCGCGATGTCCTCCTGACAATACGTGCAGTTGTAATTCGCGTATAGATCTGCAACGCAAAGGTATAATGAATGTAAAAAAAAAAAAATAAAAAGGATGGGAGGCGATAATCAGGATGAAGGGGTGGGGCGCGAAAGGGCAGCTCAATGCCGATATTGAATACGCACCCGCCATTGTTGCCTCGCTGGATCCTTCCAGAACAGATTCGGATGACGTCACCGCATACCATCGGGCCGTGAATTTTATGGTATCACGAGACGCCGAGGTGCACCACCGTAGTCATCTTTCTCGCCCGCGTAGATCCGCGCGTGAAACGCCGCGGAATCGCGATGTGTCCCCCCCCCAGCGAGACGTTCTGCGTTTCACCCCGTACAAATGTGTACGATCCGCGAGGAACGTCGATCAAGTAATAAAAAAAGGAGAGGAAGAGTCGTGTTTACGTGTTGCGTCGCGGGACGAATGCGCATGCGCCGAGCGTCTTTCAGCTGCTCGTTGTTGCCACGTCGCTCACAACGCGCCTCGAACATGACCCTTCGGCGACTAGATGACTCTCGGCTCTCACCCCTGTTCTGTCTCCTGCCGCTTAAATTTATGTCCATAAACATAGGAAGTGTAGACCCGCGTGTCTTGTATTCTTTACGATATCGTAGGCAGCACCTGTATATATGAATACATATCCGCTAAGGGCGGGTATTTCAACCAAGTACCGATTAATTTATAGCATATCGATTTGTTTGTTTTCAAGTCGAATCGAATATAAAGAAAAGAAGATAGAGAAAAAAGTAACAGAAAAAAGCATAAAATAAAAAAAAAATAATACGCAACTCGAATTAATAATGTTAGAAAGTAAAATTATAACTGCATTTTTCGGCGCAATCTTCTCTCTCTATAATTATTTTCTTTTTGATATTGGAAAGTATTTGGTTTCGTAGCAACTGATGAAACAAAAAAAATTAATCAAACTTCCTTTTTATTTGTCAATAAATAGTATTAAACAGGATCGCCATTAAGTCAGGAATTTGAAAAGAAAATGTTCATAAAAAATGTGCGAAAGGTAATAATAAGTAATTCAGAAACTAAATAGTCTCAATACAAACTGCGCTAGATATTATTAATTATAATCTTAACTTTTATCGTGTTATTGTAAATAATTATTCAGTTAATGCGAGATGCATCTTACGTTAAATAAAATTTGGAACATACATAGTTTTATAATAACTTTTATTAATCAAATTTTTTCTACAAATTAAATTTTTCGAAAATTCAAAACTTTGTATTCTTATGTAAAGCAAAATTTGATAGAAAAAACTAGAGATAAATTTTTTACATAACAAAATCAACAAACTATATCGAATTTCACAAAGATGTTAACAAATCTTTAACTCATTTTAGCATATGTACAACGCTTCGCTATTACGAAGATCATTCACAAATGTAGAATGCAACAAGGCTCTCCAGAAATTTAAATTGAAACAAGCAAAGATGCAGGTACATTTAATTAGAAGTAATTTTATGAAAGCTTAAATCTATATATAAGCATTGTATCAGGAGATTTTTATATTAATGCTTCATTTATTTTTCTAGTGTGCTGATGATCTTCCAGTCTATTTAAAGGCTGGTCTACGCGATAAAATACTATTTAATATTACGTTAGCTATGCTCTTATGTAACACGCTCCAATCAGTCTGTACAATTAAGGGGTTTTTCACAAAATATTAATTATTTACATTTTACATCAGTTCCCCCTTTTAATTATATGTATTGAAACTTCTTGAAATTCAATTCAAACTGCAAATTCTGAGATATAAATAATTTCAATTTATGGTAAATATCAATATATCTAATATATATCATGCATACAAATATATACATGCAACTATATATGCTATGCATTTACTTGTGTACTTTGATACCTTGGAAGATTTAATAAGACACTTGATTATTCTACAGATGTCAATGTAAAAACTATTCAATCCATTAAATATTACTTGATAAGTTTAACGGAACATAAAAATTTAAAATTCATTTTATTACAAATTTAACATGTAATTTTCCAAAAGTCATTATGATGTTTTTATGTCATAATGTTTTGAAAATGCTTTAAATGTTCAATGCTTTAAATCTTTTATGTTCATTTCTATCAATGTAGTTTAATTTTAATCTCGATTTAATTTATCTTTTATTAATTCTTAATATTAAAAAAGATGAAAGTAATTAAATCGAGATTAATTTACATTAGAAATAGACATTAGACAATAGACAATTAGACATTAGACAATTAGACATTAGACATTAGACAATAGACAAGTATGTTGCTCGGATTACTATAAGCGCGATATAATGTATCATAATTAGAAAATACAAAACCAAAACGATTTCTATATTCAAGCGATACTAAATGCAAAAGACAAATATAACAATTTAATGTTTATGGATGATTATATATTTGTAATTGTAATATAAAACAAATAAAAATTTAATAAATAAAAATGTGATAAAATTATAAAATTACACATATTATAAGGAAGAGTTTTGCATGTTTTGCATAGAAATTAATATATTTCGGCGTATTTGTACGTGCGTAAAAATTTAGATTATAGATCTAAAACATATATGTAATATGCAAAGATGATATAATATTTTTTTTAAATTATTTTCACTGCTAGATATTGCATACAGACATGGAAATTTTATGGCTTTTACTCACATATATGAATTATGCATGAGTTATATTAAAAAATACAATCTTTTTTTTATATATCATAGAAAAACATATTTACTATTTATTATGTTAATATTACAAAAATTTGCTGCATTAATAACACTTCATAAAATTATTTATGAAACACTATTACACAAAGTTTATTACGAATCATTTTGATCATTTTCGATATTTTTCTGTGAACTTTCTTTTCTTTTCGTGATATCAATTTTATTTATATTGCTTGAAATACTAGCATACCTTTGAGCATCTAATGAAATATCTTCAGTAGAAATTTGCACATCGACATATTCATCTGTATTAGAAATCACATTGGAGTTTTGTTTTAGCTTCGTCTTTTTGCATACTCTATTTGCGCTTCTTGCATTTCTCCATTTTCTGATGTATGAACATCTTCATTACTATGCAAATTAATTACACGTTCCTTCGATGAAGTCTTTTTCCTTCGTTGTACTAAAGCTTTCAAAGCTTCATTAAATTGTGATAATGTTTCAGCGATTGGACGTTCCATATATTTAGCTGCGATTTCATCAAACTTATCGTCCTCCTCCGAAGTTAATTCATGCTTAATATATTTAAATTGATCTATTATTTCTTTAAGACTTTCTCTAGGATCTTTTATCCTTAGTTGATCATCATTTTGTACAGATTTCATTTCTGTTATATGCGAATCGCTTTCAATATGATTTACGTTGCTTGTATCATTTGCTATTGAATCATTATCATCATGTATGAACTCTTTCTCAAATTCTCTAAATTGATTTATTATATTTCTTATGCTTTCTCTCACATTCACTGATTTTGATGTTTTAATTTTCTCATCTTTATGATTTTCGATAATTTCTTCCTCAGTTGCAAATATCTCTGGGTCAACTGTATGTGTATTCTGAACCTTCTTCGCATCTATAATTTTATCTTCTTCTTTTATTATATCTTCAGTTTGTTTAAGATTTTCCGACTTTGTTACTTTGATTTTATCTCTTTTTTGTGCAACATTTTTTGTTGTAACTAACTTTTGTTTACTAAGTTCATCGTCTTTTGTGTGTTTTTTCACAATCTTAGATTCTTCTTCCATTATTGATTTATCTATCAAAATTGGCGGTTGTTTTAATGGTTCTTTTAATTCCTGTTTTAGTATTCCTATCCTTTTTAGCAATTCAGTTGCTACACCTTTTCTTTTTAGTTTTACTGGAAGTTCAATATTTTTTCGTTCGTTGATTTCTCTTTTTTGTTTAGCTTCTAGCATCTTTTCTTGAATCATTTTTTTAACACTTTCTTTAATGCCATGTGTTTCTTGGCGTAGGTTTTTAGATTTTTTTTTAATATTTTCTTCTTCAATCTTTTTTATGTCAAATTTAACATCATTGATATTAGAAACATCCTCGAAATCTTTCTGAGAATCAATATTTTTTTCATTTTTATCTTTTAAATTTGACAGAAATTTATTTATATTTTTAGTTTCCCATGTAATAGTAGTTTCTGTAGTTGTTATGTTATCGTTTATCAAATCGTTAAAATTTTCCGTTTTATCTTCCATTGTATCATTTTCTTTTTTGATCTCTTCAAGTTTAATAACCGAAATATTTTTTGCAGTTTCTTTTGTCTTCTTAAATTCTTCTATCGACTCCACAGATTTGTTATCATCTTGTTTGTTTTCCATTTCTTCTTCAAGTATATTTTTTGTATCTATTTGATCTACAAAATCCTTTGCGATAGTCTGTGATATAGTTTTATTATTAAGTTTGTATTTGATATTCAATTTTCTTTTCATAATAAATATACTAGGTTTCATCTTAATTCTAATAGGTGGTAATATGTCACGATTTAATGTTATATGCGAATATCCCTCGATAGAATCAATAATATCGTAAGTTTTAAGATAGAACTTTATATTCGAGTTCTTGTTTTTTGCTTCCATTAAAAGATGAGTAAACTGTAGCATTTCTGGATCATCAATAGCGAAATTTTCTTGTTTGGAATAACTGTAATATAATAAGTATTTTTCCCATTAAAAAATATCAATACGAATAATATTAGCGAGAAATTAATATGTAACTGAGATAACTTACATCCAAGAAGCATTGATTTGTGTAAATCTTGATACTCCAGTTTGTGCGGTTAACACATCAATATGCACATATACTGGTTTGATGGAATTTCTCTCAAGTCTGTGTAATTTAGTAATCGCCAAGCCTCCAGGATAATTAAAACCAGATATATATAATAGAAACAAGGAGAATATAATGTTTAATACAAGATGACACAAGATTATTAGTGCTAAAAAACCATTCCAAGTTGTTTTTGCTCTATTTTCCCATCTAATTTTCAACAAAAAAACAATTTTTACATTACAGCTATAAATTCAAAATTTGAAGCTTAATCAGTAACTATAATTTAATTTTTATAATTCCAAATTCTAGAATTAAGATTTTAATGACAAAAGAATAAAAAATAAGCATTAAAATTCTTTAGCTCTCAATTGAGAATAGGAAACATTGATTATTATCAAAACTAATTTTATTCTTTTCTTCATTAATCTTACAATAAAAATGTATTTAAAGAAATTAATCTGGAAAGCTAAAATCGCTGATGAAAAATTAATTAAAAGCATAACTGAAACTAAAGATATACTTACATTCTGTGACAAATAGCAGCTGCGCTAACATTTAGCAGAGGGAATACGTATATTATAAACCTCAATTCTTTATGCGGTAAAAATGAAAATAATATAACGAATATAATGGCTGGACTAGTGAGCACACGAACTCGAGCATCCCACAATCCAAAAGGAACTAGAAAGTATGAAACTGCTAGACCTCTCGGCAATGCTGAATAAAAGTACCATAAAAATGGTGATGTCTATTTATTTATGTGTCAAGTTCATTTATACATTGAAAAACATTTGTTTAAGAATTTTGAACATTTCGGATAATTAAATATCTATTTGAAAATTTATGATAATTTAAAAAGTTATGTATTATGATCAGAAATTTGAAGTATCTGTAATCATTATATCTTGATATGATAGATCAAAAATATTTTTTTTTATAATACAAAATAACTGTATTCAAGATATTAAAAATTCTTAATAAAAAATTTTATTTTGAAAAGGATACACCCCATTCACTGCTCTTATTAAGAATAGTGTTGAAATAAAATACTTCGCCCTCTGGCCATACTAAACGTCTCCAGAATATTGAATCTATAGTAATAGTAAGTGCTAAGAACAATACACCAGCTGGAACTGCATTTTTAAGTAGTCTAAAATATAATATTATAAAATGTTATAAGTAAAACAATTTGAGAAATGCGATATACTTGTGTATATAAAAGTACTTTTAATAATGTCAAGCTATAATTGGTCTTATATAAGATTCAAGGATATTCTCATGTATTCGATATATATAACGATTAGAGATTTGGCTTAAAAGCTTACAAATCTGTGCAGTTTTGCAGAAGATCCCTTGATGATTTTAATCATTTCTGTTTGTAATCTTATAGCCATATTAGGAATCAATTGTCCATGACATAATATGTAAATACCTTTTTACAGAAAGTTTCTGGTTCGCAATGTCGTATAAAAGAAATAATCCCAAAAGCATGGCGAGTTCTGCTCTAAATATTATTATCGCTGCAGCCGACGACCAGATAAATATCACATGGTTTTGCCTCAACCACCCGAATAAGGCCAGTAACACTATAACATACATTTATTTTAAATCTTTGCTCGCTTGTAAAATTTGGTTTATACACTTTTTTTTGTAAAATAAATTTGTAAAGTAAGTTGTAAAATAATGTTCTTCAATTAATGAAAAGATATATTTATATATGCGCGCGCACACACCAAACACGTACGCGCGCATATACAAAAAGTTTTACTTTATTACCTAAAGGCATAGCCATAATATTTGGTAATGGACGACTAAGATAGTACATAAAATGATACTGTGTCACAGTTATCATAACAAACCACTTTGTAAACTGCAGCCCAAAGATGTTTTGTAAAGCATGCCTATATAGCTTGAATGTAATTATTACCAACAGTCCCAATGTTGCTCTTACTAAAAAAAAAGAAAATAATGTAATAAGCTCTTCTATTTCATGAAAATATATAGAAAATTGTGTTATATTCTAAAATTACTGCACTTACCTATATATTGAGCATAAAATTTATTGAGCTTCAGGTAATTGATAACTGCAACTAGTGGTGAGGCAAGACCAGATACGACAATAGGCCCCAAAAATGAACGCGGCACAACTCCAGGAAATTCATGATGATCATACTATTAAAGAGAAAGATAACAAAATATGAATTCAGGATCTTCTATTACAGAAAAAAGAAGATTGCAAACACCTATTTATTTTATTTTAAATAACACGTGCATAACAGTTCAGTTATAAAGCACAAATCTAGTTACAAAATCAAAAATGATAGATAAGATAAAAATGGTGTGTTACTTGTTTTAAATTTTTACTTTCATTTTTTGACTGAAATGTTTCTCTTATCTATCTCAACAATAATTTGAAGATTACATAGATAAACAAATATAATTTGAAATAATTGTTGCTTTACTTTGTCTTTTCTTCATTCAAATTGCCTAGATATTTTTTATTCGTAAACAGATAAATATAAAGATGTTAAAAATTTTCAAGAGTCTTCTCTTTTAATCTATTCTGTATACAGATTGAATATCGACTGGAATATTTACAACAAAGAAGATAGGAGCGTTCGGATATTATTTAAAAGATAAGATTTTACTGATCCTTGATGCATAGAAATAAAAAAGAGACGGCATCAGCTGATCGCAAGTTTATAAATACGCGTGTCTGCTGCTAAATATATTGAGATGCTTTTTGCGTGCTGACCAGTGCTGACCGCCCGATTGCGATCAGTCGGCCGGGGCGAGCAACGATTGCCGAACGACCCCCGAGTCGTCGACGGTTCGATGATCCGATAATCGTTTCTCCTTTAATGTTTCAGTCATTACCTCTGTCAGATTGAAGCCGTGATAAAGGACATCGTGCATCGCCTGCAAATTGAAACTCTCTTCGACTTTGGTGAACGGGCAATACATCAGATGTATCGCCGCCACCAAAATAATCAGCTGATCCATGATTGCTGTTGCTTCATACTGAGCATATGTTGTGAGTCAAAGAATTTTCGAGTCTCGTCATGATAAATTCGACGTGTCGTTACAAGGACACTTTTCTTTCTCGTTTTTCTCCAAACACACGGCGTGCCACCGAGATGTTATTGCGCGGCGGACACCACGTATACTGTTACAAAACGGAGTAGCTCGCGCATGCGCGCTGTCGCTCCACAAGTTGGGTTTTTGAGATCTTTCTCAAGAGAGGATGGAATTGGAATCATCTCATCTTTCTCCTTTCTCCTATCTTATCGGAAGTTTCAATTTTAAAATAGCTAAAAGTATCCTCTCTTGTTTATTGAATATTCTAAACCTAATTTATACAATGGAAATAGTTCAATAAAAAGTCAATGGAAAATAATTGTTGTAAGTGAAAATAAATAATCTACCTGTAATTAATTTACGTCACCTGTTACATCATTTCAAATCTTGGCTAACATTTTAAGTGGCTCTCATTTCTGGATCTTTTTGAGCCAGGAACAGAATAAATAATTGAGAATCTATCAAGCTTATCAACCTGACTAGATCCTGAATAAATCGTGATCTGACTGTAATCCTGCGAATAGGAGATCTATATCAGATCAAGAAGAGAAAGAAACACTCCTTTAAATTTCATTTGTAGTCAGAACGAATCATTTTCTTTCAAATGACAAAAAGTTACAATAATTCTATAAAACGCAAGTTGATTATCAAAAGTTAATCGGAATGTGGTCAAAATCAATATTCAATAAGAAAAATATGAAAAATTCATCTCAATCAATCAATCAATCAAGAAAACTCATCTTGGCACCATTTGTATGTGGCAAAAGATTGCATGGCAGACATCCCTTCGAAACAATGTGATTCAAAGATTCGTTTTCAATGAGTCTGCGATCTGCGATTTCGCGTGATAGGCGAAGATCTTTGATCTCGTTACGCAAATTCGTTGATGAAGCAGCGAATCGACATCTGGCGATGAAGGGGCAATGTTCGTGGTGCACTTTTAGCGAAGTAAAAGTAGTCGATGTAGTCGAAGTAGTCGATTAGAGACGATAGAATTTTGACAAGTATCATTTCAGTAAAAAAGGAGAAATAGCGAAACGAGCTTGATCAAATCGGTGTTCAGAATTAGACATGCACATTTCAGGCTGATTTATGACGCAACATCTACTTCATCTCTTCTACCACTCCTCATCGCCGCTTGATTTGCCGGCTGCCGATCGCGTGTATAATCCAGTGAGTATTGTTTACTGAAGTGAGCCTTTCCTATACCAATACATGAGTATAACGTGGGGCCAAGAGAAAACTGCCGTGCGACTTAGGAACATGTCTGTCATTTTAATTTTTATTATCGTCGATAAAAACATCAATCTGTGTTGTAGAGCGATTGCTTAGGGTTAAATTATGTATCGAAAGATATATATATATGGATAGTAATATTCAAGCCCCCCCCCCTCCCCCAGTATAATTTTATTCTTGTTTAATATTCAATGAATAATGAGAATAAAATGGGTATACTCAGGTTATTTCTGAACACATCCAACATCAAGAAACTTTTCTTCTGGAATAATTTGTAATTTTTATTGTGTGTGTGTGTGTGTGTGTGTGTGTGTGTATCTATGTATACATAAAATTAAAACATTTTTAGATTTTACTTATTTCATTTTTAATTCTAAGAATTGTTATTCTTTGTGAAATTATATATATTATTTTCTTACAATTCTTTTTTACAAACTATTTACCGTAAGATACTGCTCATCTTTTCTACACAATAAAAAATATTAGAGAATATTTTCATTTACTTAGGGATTAATACAAAATGATTATGAATATATATAACATATCAAATATATTAAAAGTTTAATATTGTGATATTAAAAAATATGCTCTTATTTTATTTTTTAAATCTTATATAATTTAAAAACTATTCTTAGAGTTTCATAGCATATAAAAAATATATTTCATTTTCACTTTCTTCGTCAAAGTGTGTCAAACAATTGTCTCTTTATAAAAATACTAATTTCGATAATTTCGACATTAATCTGACAAAGAGAGAAAAATATATCTTGTAACATGTGAATAACAGGTGATAGATAAAGGATAGTAGATAAGGCAATTGACATAAGAACATATGGTTTGCAGCATTATCTTCTCGTTCATCGTTGCTGCTACATCTCGTTACAGTTGGTACGCTTAAAATTTCTAAACTTTAACTCAAGATTTAAATAATAAAATGTCCATTATGTACAATAAGGTCACTCACTGTATCTTTGATATGGACGGTTTGTTACTCAGTAAGCATCAAGATAGAGCAGAAATATCCTTGATTTTTTTGATTTGACAATAATTATCGCATTTCATTTCAGATACAGAACATCTGTATACCAAAGCATTCAATCGTATCACCAATCGTTATAGCAAAGAATTCACTTGGGAACACAAGGCACATATGATGGGTTTGAAGACTAAAGACACTGCCGACTACATAATTAAATTGTTGGAATTACCGTTAACAGCGGACGAATTTAAGCAAGAGATTATTGGGATCTATCAGGAGTTGTTTCCACAAACCAATCCTATGCCAGGTAGCACTTTTTTGGCATTATCAAGTCTAAGACATGTCGTTGATGTCGAACGATTCGTAATTTTATTTTAAATTATTGTAACTATATGTATGATCCGTTATGGGCAATAGGCGCCGTTCGATTATTGAAACATCTGAAAGAAAACAACATTCCGATTGCATTAGCTACGAGTTCGGATCGAGAAAACTACGAACTGAAAACTACACATTGGCGCGAGCTTTTTGAGCTTTTCCATCACAAGGTGATCGGTGGCTCGGATTCCGAAGTCACGCATGGAAAACCGGAACCTGATATATTTCTCACAGCCGCTAGGCGTTTTCCTGACAATCCAGATCCTTCGAAGGTAACGTGATCTATGGATATCATTGAATCATCACATGCAGGACTATCATTTTCAATTATATATTCGAAATTCAAGCACGATTATAATCTATTAAAAATAGATTATAAACAGTATTCGATTTGTTTAGTGCCTGGTTTTCGAAGATGCACCAAATGGCGTGAAAGCAGCTCTTAATGCCGGAATGCAGGTTGTTATGGTGCCAGACCCAATGCTTCCCAAACATTATACAAACGAAGCAACCTTGGTTTTGGACAGTCTCGAAAAATTTCAACCAGAAAAATTTGGATTGCCACCATATGTGACGTAGTACATCCTTTTTTTTCTTATCGGATATCTTATGGACTCGTGGATGAGAAAAGTTCGCACAGGATCATCACGTATAAGAATAAAGATAATCTAATTTGTTTTCCCTAACAGTCTTTTTGATTTGTATCTTATTTCTTAGATAATCGATATGTTTCTCCTTAAACTTCTTTATCTGTGTCATCGGACAGATCTTCCAATTCATCGAAATCCTCTCGCGAACCAGCAGTAACAAACGTTTCTGTGAAATTGACACCGATACTGCTGAATATTCCTGTGAGATTTACACTCGAGAATTTACTTCGTTTCAATTGTCTGTGAACCGCCTCTTTCAATGTGTTGTACGCGGCTATCATATCTCGCGGACATTGAGTCAGCAGATCTAAAAATAAATTGAGAAACTCATTCTTTCTTCCCAGACATTATAATATATTAATATAAAAGATAATAGATTACGTTTGTAAACTGGTTGAGTGATATCAAACATTTTATGATAATAGTACAATTGGTTATAAAGATCTGTCCCAGAATACTGAAAACATATAAACATGTATTAATATCATATAATCTTAGAGTAGAAATTTATGAAATTTATTTCAATCAACTCACAATTCGGTTCAAGGAACCATCTTTGCACATCGGACAATCTGGATATTTTTTTGCGAAATCTAATGGCAATTGTCTCGTTTTGTTGGAACAAAGTGGATTCTCACATTCCAACCAACCACTATAGTACTTAGTAATTGCCTTTCTCATGGCAAGCTGAACTACATTTTGTATCACTTTTGCATATCTCCAAGGTGGTAATTTACAATCCTGATTGGGGCACATGCTAAGTGATAATTGCCGACCAGAATGCTATACATATTGAAAATTTAGTAAACAGAAGAGATACTTACAAATAGATACTACAAATAGATACTTACAAATTCTGTAACAGTATCCTTAATTATTATTTCCGTATTACATCGCTCGTTTCTACATTTAAACGTCAAGGGAAGGCAATTATTGAATCTGTCATCATTGATAGCCAATGGTAAAGTCAAAGTTGCTTCGCACGCTATTGTCTTAGGTTTGTAAACAAATTGTAAACCTAATGAATTAGTATATTAAATATGTATCATTTTTTGCATTTTCCATTTCTAGAATATAATAATTCGGAAATACCTAAATTGTTGGCTAGAAAAACATCGTCGATACCCTCAATTGGTTCGCAGATTCGTAAGATTACAGGAAATATTTGACTCAGCAGATAATAATTAACGTCCACCTTTAATTTCTCATTATTCTTCACTTCGTCAATGTGATACGCTCGTTCCGTCGCGCTCGCATCAGTTCCATCCTAATAAAACAATCTTCATTTTTCTATCTTTTTTTATCATTTTCATTTTGATAATCAGTAAAATGAAAAAGAACCTCGCAAATAACATATGGCAATGTGTCACCAGCTTTCCACATCCGTCCACCTGCTTTATTTAATCTAAGTGCCACCATAACGTGAGACAGTTGCTTTTTATCTGGATATGCGTCTGGATTTTTTGACAATTGTTTAGTGATAACAAATGATGACAGTGGTGCTGTTCCTTCTTTCACATTTTTTGCAACGTTCTGCAGGATTTGTATGACTTGCTCTAGACGCGTTTCACTCGACTGATCACAGAGAAGTGTATCCAAAACTTTTCTGAAAGAAAAAAAAAAGGTTTATGAAATGAATGAAATTAATCTGTAGAAATATCATGACATATATCTGCTAACTTTCCAGTGTCGCAGGCCAATGGACACCAATCTCTTCTTACAATATCGAGACCTTTATGTTCTTGTGCCAATTGTATCTGACCGTTTGGCAATTTCGACATTGTAACTGCAGCATATTTCTTCTTTTGTAAGAGCAATAAATATCGGAATACTCCATCGATATCTAATTCAACTTTTTTGTATCGATTGTTAACTTCGCGCATAATCTAGAAAATATTCAATTCTATAATATTGTTAATGTGATAACGACTATGCATAAAATTCTAGAGATTATGAAATTATTCAACGGGATGTTTTTCTCACCTTTCTGCCGATTGAAAATACATCATCGTATTCTAAAATGTTAGTATTTATCATCAGGGAATCAGTATCGCCATAAATTACTTCATATTGCAATTTTTCGACCAAGTGTTTCGTGTCTTCCAGAATCTCCCGACCTTTAGCTGAAAAATAATGAACGTTTTATATATCGACAGATTTCATTTTAAATACCTGTTATATTTTTACCTGTTATTAAAGCAGCGAGACCTTTCGCATAAAATCGACAATGCGTCGCCCCCAAACATCCATACATGGAATTGGCAGTAAGTTTTAACGCCATTTGCCTGATGTGGTAGTCCATTTTCTGTTCCGGCGATAAATTTGGTGTTTTCATGAGTTGTTTGATTTGTTGTCTGCTTTTAACTAACTTGTGAATTTCTGTTGGAATCACTCCTGGCTCCAGATTCAACTCAGGAATACTCAATTGCTGCACCACGTAAGTTATATTTTACTTAATATATAATTTATCTCTCGGTTTCGTTTGTACATGAGAAAATTACCTCAACGTCAGAATACGCCGCACCAGGAACGGTGGTGAAACACAAGTTGTACTCTTGTATGATACTCGGATACAAAGAATTGAAATCCATCAACAATACCAACTTGTCATAGAAACCTTTCTTTGGATCAAGTACCAGACCGCCAGTATATGCTGCAGCTTTTCTACGGGGACCATCTAACATATTTCTAACATTAGTAACCTAATGTACAATATTCTTGTATAACATAATAATGATATATATTTAGATCTTACCATCGTCTCGTCCTTTCTTTTCAATTCGTTTGTCTGGCGTTATGTAATCTTTTAAATTAAAGGCATGTAACAACAAATATTCATTTCTTTCCGCTCTTCCACCTAACAATGTCCTCGATAAAATATTACCTATATTCAATTTTCACAAGGATTAATTGAAAGTAGTAATTAAAACATTACATATAAAAAAAAAGAAAGAAAATGAAGTGAATGAAGAAAATAAAGAACCTGCTAAACAAGTGATTTGAAGTGCTAGCGGTATAATGTTGAGATCCATCACTATAGTTATAATATATTTCGCTTCTTTTAATGTTATATGTATTAGATTTAACATTTTGTCTGCTGTATTGTAGAAAGATGAAGTTTCCGCTGGTGTGATTTCTCTACATTCATGTTCTTTTGTTTTTAATACCTAAAGATTGATTAAAATTAAATTATTTGATTGAATAAACAATGTAGCATCAACAATATTATACGACTTACTGCACTACAAAGTGATTGGAGATCGTAACTTCTAACTTTTAAATTTAATTCCTTTGCTGAGATTTGTATATCACAAATCGGGCGACCAACAAACGCTTGATTAAGGATTATTTTTCCCTGTATAAATATTTGGATTATATTATAAATAAAAGAATTCTTTTAGATGTAAATACATAAATTTCATTCTTTTAATCCAATGGTTTAAAAGAAATAAATTATGTCTTACTCTAAGTAGAGGAGGAGTTGTTGACTTCAATCTTCCCATTCTGTTCCAATTAGATACCTTCAAGGCAAACATTCTCTGCATTAAAACGTCAAATTGGAATGCACAATCGTAGCCTATTATTAAATCGGGATCCACTTTCTGCATTAAAGTTAATAATTCTTCAAGTAACTCGCTTTCGGTTTCACATTTTATTATTTCGACATTCGGCACTTTTAGAAAAGTATCACGAATTTGTCGCGGCCACGGAGTGTCTCGTGGATGTGTGACAACTGTAAAGAATTACACAGTCTTTATTAATGTGTATCAGCAGATGAATTAAAAAATAATTCTACAATTTAAGGATATAAAACGATAAATATTTTATTAAGCTCAAAAAGAGAGATTGAGGAAAATTTTTTTTCCTTTGCTTCTTTAAACAACAAAATATTGGCGTTCTGAAATGTTAATTAAATTATTAATTATGATAAATTAAACAATTAGTAAATGACGCAATACAAAATTATACTTACAACAAAACTGACGATCATAAGGCGGCTTTGGTGGTTCCTTATCGACATTATACTTATGATGAATTAACACAACAACCATCACTAGTTCATTTTGTAGTTTTGCATTCAAAGACATTCTTACATTGAGAGTTGCTGTTATTATTGGAGGCTTAGCTTTTTCTTGGGAGCACAGCGATATATTCTCCATGTCTGAAGTAACTACCTGTTGCATTATAATATAGAATAGATTGTATTAAATTTCTTTTTTTTATTATCATATGATAAATGCATTTACATACTATCTGTGGACACCAAGCAAATCGTCCTACGGTAGGCGATATATTCTTAACATCCAACCAACAAGGCCCCTTAATCTTTCGTTCTATAAGTAACAGCTCTAATGCATTCACTGTGGTGCCAAAAACACGTTCTATTGCTCGACCCGAGTAGTCGGCATCGATTGCTGGATAGCGCGCATTATATCTGACTTCCAAGTAATCTGAAGTTTTCGGTGTACCTTCTTTTTCAAACGAATAATGCTTCTTCACTTCTTTACAATTAAACTCCATTATACGCACTTTATTAGCATATTCATCAAATTCTTTATACACATCTTCCATAGTAGTTATTTGTGATTCGTCGTTCTTTGAAGTTTTTATCTGAAATTCATAGCTATAAAAACATGCAATCTAGAAAAATAATAAAAAATATGTTACTAAAAGATATACGTACATATTTTCTAGGCAAAAGATATATTCTCCTTGGAATACAATGTATCATAACGCAACATGAACAATATGTATCATGACTTGGTACATAGGTCTTGCCGAACAGATATACAGTTCCAGGATTCTTGTAAGGGTTTTCATATGCGTCCAAATAATAAAACCTGAATACCTCCTCTTCATCTTTCGTTTTGACTAGTTGTGGCGCTATCAAGTCAACGGCAAGACCAATTTTCATACTTTTAATGGAAGTTTTACATGTATTTTTTTGTATGTCTATTTTATTTTTCTGAGATTTAATGTCAGCCGATGACGAAAAGTCAATGTCCATACTTCCATCATCGAAATCTATAGTTGACAGCTGCAATGTATTTCATATATAGCTACAGCTTTATATTAATAATAGGTAAAAAAGAGATGACTTACATCTCCAACACATTCATTAAGATCCATCGTAGGACTAGGCTCATCCTCAATAATCTGACTTGCAGTTTGCATAGTATTGGATTCTATTTTTTTAGTGTCTTGACCATCTGATTTGAATTCTTTTCTCTCAACTTTGAAACAATTATTTAATTCTTTTGGTTTTTCTATATTCTTTTCTTGTGGAGCATCAAATAATGCAATATCATCATCTTCAATTATCAGACTTGCACTTTCTGCAATACTGTCATATATTGTAGAATTTTTCTCTTCTGTCTTTTCACATATTATCTTGTCAGCTTTTTGATTTGTAGATGAAGATTGATATGTTTGTCTATAATAAATTTAATATACGGATATATCCAATTTGCATAAAATTAGTATAAAACAAAATACATATAAATACACAAAATTTATTACTTACGTAACATCAGAATGAATAGTATGACAAAATTTGTTTTTGTTGCTTCCTGGTTTAGGGCTATTTGTTATTTTTTTATTCTCAGAAATCTCGCTGAGCAGTTCTCCCAAAATATCATCATCTTTGATTGGTACAATAGCATCCTTCTTAGAAGGCATATTTCTAATCATACTTTGAATATTTCCTTTCTTCTTATCTTCTTCCTTTCTTTTTTTTCTAGGGCCAGCCATATTAAATCTCTGTTTCCTTGCCTCTTGAATGCTTTTTTCATCCAGATCGTCATCAAAAATTTCTCTTCCATCTTCTATATAACCACTTTCTCCTACATTTTTATTTAAATTTAATGTATACATATTTTTCTATACTTTAAGCAGATTTAAATTTTTTATAAGATACCTTTCAAGTAAATTATTTTTTCAATATAATCTATTTAAACCTGCTATAATAAAACATTTTTGACTCTAAAATAAGAAAGATAAAATTTTTATACCATCATCGATTATCCAATCATCTCGTTGACGTTTCAAAACAGTATTACTATATTCTTTCTCATCTACTTCATCATAAACATTCTCTATCTCTTCAACTTCGTATTTGCGCTTGTTACCACTTCGAGCTTCCTTTAATCTTTCCAGAGCCGAAAACCTGCCAGTTTTATCAATTTTCTGACGCCTGGATCTACCAGATGTGGATGCTAAAACATCATTCAGCAAGTTAAATCTGTACAATAATTCTTTCCATTGCAACAACAAAATAATAAGTGCGCAACGCAATACATTCTGTTGTACAAAATTATTTGTAAAAAAACTGTTTTTTCAAGAATTATAGGAATTTATTTGATACTGATTGAACTATTGAATCATCAACACAAGAATACATGTAAACAAAAGGTACGAAGATTCAGATCGAACATAAAGACATTTACAACTCTCGCGATTATTATTCAACGTTGAGCGTGATATTCAATTAAAAATGCATCACCGTTTCGCATTGCGCTCAATCATTTACTTACGCTGCGAATCATCCATTATTCTTTCCCTAAATATCGTGTTTATCAGAAAAGACTTTCGTCTGTTTTCGTCCCGCGATGGTTCTACAAGTTTTGGCGGGAGAATAAATTTTTCCCGACAAGAGAACGTCGCGATATCTCGCGAGTTAAAAATGCGTTTCGATTCGAGTGTGATGTGAGTGAATCGTTCAAGGTCCGTTTACAATAGGAGTAGTAAGCCTTAAGGGTACCGTCACATGCGGCGTAACTTGCGTAAGCGTAACTTGCGCCGATCAATCATATTTCACTTGAACATCAAATTCCGCCTAGTTACTTTACGCTATTATTGTTACGCTGAATCTAATTTTTTTGCGGAAGAAACACATACAGTGAATAATCAGAGCTTTTTGGCAAAATGAATAAAGATCAAATCAGGATAAGTTAATTAATTAATATAATAATGATCATGAATTAAATCATCATATCAAATTAATTAATAATAAAGATATATATATATATATTAATTTATGTTTTTTTTGCGTGGCCCAACAATATCTAACAACTAATTAAACATTTCTATGGACATTCTACAATAATTGTAGAACATTTCGTAATCTTGAAATTCCATTTCTTTGACCAGATTGTCATTGTCACCCTGTAATAATCTTCGTTTTTCTGCGAATATCGAACGCACCCACATTCTATAACGAGGTTTTTCCTGTTGGTATACCATTAGTTTCCATATTCCAAACAATTTTAAAATATTATATCGTCTAATTTTGTTGTTGAGATTGTTTCTTCTTCCACTTTTGCTACCGCTTCCATATTTTTAATAACAACAGGTCCATAATGACTTCTGAATACATTCTCACAGATTAGGTTCACATCTATTTGACTTGTTCGTACACATACTCATACATAAAGTCTCGGTTCCCCATGAAGCGTACTTTTCCAGATACGCAGATTACAAAAACCAATCACAAATTAGTTTAGCATTTCTGTTAGAGAGTACAACAGAAACTCTAATCAGCAATAGGTTATATTAATTACGCATTTCTCGAAATTCCGCGAAATACTCTATGTGAAAGAAGGCTTTCAGAATGGCATAACGTGTTTTAATAAAATACTAAAATACGCAGATTACGCTTATGCAAGTTACGCCGTATGTGACGGCATCCTTAAGCCACAATACTTTTTTTCCTGCTGATTTGCTAACTGGATTCGCGTGCTTGCTGAACTCTCGTCTTCGATTGATATATTTTTTAGATCTAAAAGATCTAGTCCTTGTGATCAATCACATTGGTTAATTGATCGAATTATTCAAACGCAATTGGTCAATTCTCTTTCCATCCGAGATCTCGAATCAATTTCTATAGCATCGTGGATACAAGGTTTAAGTCCCGGTCTACAATAGGTGATTTAAGATTTAAGCCATAAGAAATTGACTAATCATAGTCGATTATTCTCCTATTCTTCGACTATGATTCGTTCATTTCTCATGGCTTAAGGCTTAAATCATTTGTAGGCCGGGACTAAAAGGAACGTAATCTACGTTGTATGCTCTATGCTCGAATTTCAATCCGTCAAATTCGTAACGAACTTCAGAAACAGCGGAGTTTTATGTGTAACGAACCACGAAGTGCGAAAGGGTAAATATCCTCTTTTTTTTTTCCGTGAAATGTTCAAGTAACGACACTCGTTGATTGGTCATTAAACGTCGATCTGCGCTAATTTCCAATCATTTTGCGAATGATAATGAAATCGCGGATGATATCGCGGAGCAACCTGAACCATCGGTAATGTCTCCTAACCATGCATTTAACATTTTGCCATGGCTAAGTGTGTGATAAAAAAAAAAATATAAAATGCTGATTTATATCTCGTCATTGTATCTGTGTGAGATGTGTTATTGACAAGGAAATATCACCTTTATTGTATTTTGTTCCTTTCTACTAATATAGATTAACTGTAACCTTAGTTTAATTTATTCTTTATTTTTATCTAATTTTTACAATTAAAAGAAAAGATAAAGAGTAAGTTAAATCAAAATTAAAGTTAATTTATATTTATTAGAAATTGACATTAATTTGTCTGCTTAAGTTAAGCACTGTTTCTTATAAATTGAAACACAAAACTTATTATGTCAGAGTATCTGCAAATGCTTGGTTTTTCACTTGTTCGTTATACATTACGATTCATGGTTGCACATTATATTAGCTTGTCACATATAAACTGTCATTTCATTTGAAAAATATCCCTGTTTAGTAAAATATTTTCTATGATATTTTTATTGTATTCATTCTGTCAAAATGATAATACTTTTCTATATTTTATGGTAGTATGTTTTAGTTTTATATCATAGTTTTATTAGAATTATGTTTATAATAAAAATACAGTTTCAGTTATAATGTCAAAGACACATAGTCCAACACACTTTAATGGAGAAATAGATAACTTTTATGATCCAACCTTTCCTGCGGATATCAACACACGAATGCAAGTTCCCAAGAGCATTCGTGTAAACGGTGATTACACAAACGAGGATATCGCCGTCACAAGTAGAGCCACGTGGAGTCAAATACCTACTATGGAAAAACTTGAAATGCATGTGCCAGATAGGATTCTTGTCGTTGGTAAGATTGTATCTTAATTAGTTGAAATATTTTGCATTTGTTACAGAAATATGATTTTACTATTGTTCTTCTATATGAGTGTTACATTAATTTATTCATTGTAGGACAAGAACAACATGTTGGTACTAAAGCACCACCACCTGAAATTGTTTTAGAAAACGCTGTGATGCGCACTGAACCTGCAATAGTCAGAGTGCAGGTAATATATTAAAAATATTACAAGATGACAACATTATTAAGTATTTGTTCTTCAATAGACACCTCCAAGAATTTTGACTTTGGACAATCACTACTTCCCAGCGGTGGATGAAGAAGATCCTCCAGCAGATCACGATGAGATTGTTAAGGCAGTGGATGTAACACCTAGAACATATAATGTGGAAACGCAGATAACAAGACACAGGTGCAAAACGTTATAGTTGATTGTTATTTTGTCTAAGTTATAATCTATCACAAAATATTTTATTTCTTATCTGTTGTTGTTTTTCTGCAGAGAACAAACGCCCTCGTTTAATGCTCTCGACGTATCTCTGCCACCCAGTGAAGAAGTTCAGCATCTACGTCGCCAAGTAGGTAAATTAAACCGCCGAGTGATGGCACTTGAATTAGACATGTTACATCGCCAACAGAGAGACAAATTTCTGTATATCGCGACTATAGCATATTTCATTTTAAAAGCGTTCTCCTGGATAACTAGAAATTGAGCAGATCGATCAGATAAATAGAAAAGAAAAAAAATGGTAAATATATATTTATTTCCCTAAAACAAAGATTGTCAAAAACCAGCATTCTGAGCCACTCTTACTGTTAAGAAAGTATAACCAAAGACTTTGTCACAATCTCGTAAGATTAGAGATAAATGACAATGCAGATATGATATAATATAAGTACGTGTGAGTGTTTCTACATGATGCGACTAGAGAAACAGATGGTATAAGCATAACGATCAATCATCTATTAAAAATAAATCTCGCTTAACTTTTAATGATATGTATGTACTGTATTAGATTTGACAATATGTATATGTTATTGTTAATGTATATACTATATTCGGGAGATTAATAAATTAGATTAATTTTCATATGATGAATACCAATTGACAGCCGCATATATTAAATTTGAACTGCATATTTCAGCTTTTTCTCATTGTGACGATCTTAAAAACGATTAATTTTTTGTGTGCTATCAGGAAGATAGTATTTTTTGCTATATCTCTTCGAGTCAACGATTTATTTTTGCATGTTTTTTCTGTGGCCATAGCCTTAGAATTGTAATTTTATAATAACATATTATGACTAATAAGTTATTAATATATACATGAGATATATATATATATATATATACATATATATATATATATATATATAGTTATACATATATATAGTATATCTAGTTATCAATAAAGTTATTATCAAAATTTTATAAATTGTGTGAAATTATATAAGTGAAAGTGATCTATTATGAAATATCAGGAGTATGAAAACCCTTTTTTGTGACAAATTATAATTTAGCTCTATTTTTGTATTTTGGTTTTCTTGTTTAGATTGCTTAATTAAGATAATTGTTTTCCTAATTATAATAAAGGAATATATTAATATATTTTCTTCACTTTTATTGTAAGATTCTATCTTCCTTTTTAAAATAAAAAAAAATGTTAATTGAAATGCGATGTATTAAAAATGTAAACAATATTTTATCAGTAAGCGAATCAAATTGAAAATTATTGAAAACGTAAGATTATCATTTTAAAACTCTTGGCTATGTTTAATTTATTATTTACTCACTGTTTTCTGCTTATGTTTTTTATTTATATGTTCTATATGTCTGATTATGATTCGAGTGAATAGAATGTTAAAAGTAAAGATCAATCGCATTCAATGTTATCTATATCCATTTTCATAATGTAAATTATCTTTATCTTTTTTTGATTCTTGAAATTAAAAAGAAGAAAGTTAAACCGTGTGTGTGTGTGAGATTAATCTATATTAATAGAAATGGATATTAGTGAACTATATTCTTTTCTTTGAAATGATAGTGAATATATTTCATTGTTGGAAAGGTAAAAAAAAAAATAACGGCATAATTAACAAAAAGTTAATCGCCAGATTGTCATCGCTTTGGGAAAGTAAAATCTAGTGACATTCATGGGGATTGGCGCGCCTGGCGAGTGGACACGGGAGGTCAGTGCACGTCACGTAGTTGTGCTCAAAGCCGTGGAATCCGTTCGGTGACTCCAGTTCTCGTTCGCGGCGATCCGTCGTGCCGCAAGTGAGATACGCAGCAGCGAACTGTTCCGCTCGGAGATTCCCGAGCGGGCCGGGGACATTTGGTGCGCGGTCAGGCTCGGTTCGTTCACGCTCGGTCCGCGCTCGACGGCCACGTCCACGTCGGGTAAACGCGCGCGCGCGCGCGCGGAGGATCAGCGGGAATCGCGCTAGAGCGCGGAATCGCGGGCGCCGTACGCGAGACGATCATCCGGACTGTTCCAGTTTTGTCGCGCGCGAGTGTTGTAACCGAGTCCGCCGTAGGGAAAGGCCGACCGAGAGAGAAAGGAAGAAGAGAGAAAGAAAGAACGGATAATCGCTGGATACGATTCTGCTTTGCGATTGTCCCAGCCGGTGCATCCTTGACTCACGACAACCGTCTACTCTATCCTAACCACCTAGCTCGTCCTCTCTGATACGGTCACCGCCATCGCCACCGCCGCCGCCGCCGCCGCCGTCGCCGTCGCCACCGCCGCCGTCGTTCGACGCCCGCCGCCGACGACGACGACGACGATACGCGAGGCAGCCGCGCGAGTCGCAGGTTATGTCAAGCGGATTGGCAGGCGCTGTCTCAAACCAGGTCAGTGTGTTGTGTTGACGCGTCGCACCGCGCTGCGCCGCACCGCGTTGTGCAGTGCCGTGCCGTGCCGTGTCGTGCCGCGTCACGTCACGCCGTTGCCGTTGCCGTTGCCGCTATCGCGGCAGACATCTGACACATACGTTTCCTCCTTGTGCCTTCCCTCCTCCTCCCCCCCTCCCCGCTACCGTTACGCTGCCGAGGGCTGGCACTTCTCTAAATTTTGTATGTTTTTTCATGCGACGGCATGCAGCGGATGAAAGGACAAACCGGCAACCAAGGTGAGTATCCCAGCCAAGCAACTTTGAACAACAGCAACCCTTCTCCTCGTTGTTACTGTCGACGTCTAGATCTCTGTCTCTCATGGAAGTAGCGTGGCATTGAATGAGAGCAGCGAAGAGCGAACTCACTCTTTTATTGGAGGATAATACTGTGTGTTAATCACTTGGAGAAATATAGTCACGTACACGTTGAACTTGAGGTTTCTGATGATTGAAGAATAGGTCTGCGTAATGAAGAGATTGAAGCTGACAGATTGTCCTTCAGACTGGAATTGAAAGATTTAAATGATACGAACGATTGGAATCTCTGTAGAACACGACAGTGTTGATTTATTATTAAATTCTAATTCCAAGCCTTTCAAATTACATAGCTGTAACTATTAAGCTATATATTAGATGCTTGTTAACTTACTATCTGAATCATGTAACTCCATTATAAAGTGACAATAAAAAGCTACAAATTATCACATCGTACTGTTCTAATGTCTACAGCGCGAGTTTCTATTTACTATTCATAGGGAAATATCTTGAAATAACAATTAACGTAATGAGTAACAATCTCTGTGAGAGAGTTTCAACAAGGAGTTTCTTAATTGTTATTATCACGCGTTCCTAATTACTACATATGCTTTCGAACACTGAGTAAATGCAGCTATGTTTCGGACAGTGAGCAATGGTCCTAAGGAACACCAGCAGCAACAGCAAACGGAGCATGCCGCTGGCGAGGACACCGGTTTCGACTCGTGGCGGGGTGGCAACAATGCTCAGCATCACTCGAGTTATCCGATCGGCACCGGTGATCCGTACAGCCCGTACTACGCTGGTACCTCGTTCCCTTACCAAACCTTTGGCGCCGGCGATGGTACGTGGTCGAACGGCACCGATCCGGTCGCCTTTCTATCTGGTTACGGCGGTCAAATAAGCCATGATGCGTATGGCATGGACGGCATGTTCTCGGCGTCGGCGGCTGGCGGTGGCTTCAGTACATTCGGCCAGCCGCCGTTCAACTACTTCCACGGCAATGGCGACTTCAGCGCATGGGGCACCCCGAGGAGAACAAAGTATGAGGATTACTATCAACCACCTCGCGGCAACGAGAGTTACGCTAATCCAGCAGCGAGCGGCACCGGCGAGATTAAGACTATCGAGCAAGGCGTGCAGGGTCTGTCCATTGGCGGCGGAAGTGGCGAATTACCGCGGCAAGATCAACACCCGCAGCAGACTACAGCGCAACAGATCAAGCCCGAGCCAAAAGAACCGAGGAAGATTACTTGGGCGAGCGTAGCGAGCCAACCAGCGAAACCGGTACCACCGCTCTCGTCCTCGCAAGGGATGAAAAAGAAGGCGGGCATGCCGCCGCCGCCAATCGTGCCGGGCAAACACAACATGGACATCGGAACGTGGGGCGAGGGCAAGTCTTCCGCACCACCGCCGCCTACGGCGCCCCCGCCTCCACAGGTACAACCACCGATCCCGCCGCCACCGCCGCCCGTTCAGAGGCAGCAACGACCACCACAACAGCCACCACAGCCATGCTGGAACAGACAGTCATCCGCGGCGGCAGTGGCAGCGGCCGCGGCGGCGGCGGCAGCGGCGGCGGCGGCAGCAGCGGCACCGACACCACCGATTCCACAACAGTCACAGACGCAGATCCATATGCCGCCGCAATCTCAGCAGCACCAACAACACCAGCAACCGCATCCACAACATCATCAGCAACAGCATCAGCAAGTGCAACAGCATCAGCAGCAGCAGCAACAGCAACAGCTTGCCCAGAGCAATCAGTCGCATCCGGTTCTTGATGAACTGAAAGTGAAGAACGATTACAATCCCGTGGAGTTCGATCAGGCTGCACCTGGCGCGAGGTTTTTCGTGATCAAGTCCTATTCGGAGGACGACATCCATCGATCCATCAAATATGAAATTTGGTGCAGCACGGAGCACGGTAACAAGCGGTTAGATCAGGCTTATCGAGAAGCGAGTCGCGAGGGTGCGCCTCTTTACTTGTTCTTCTCCGTAAACGGATCCGGCCATTTTTGTGGCATGGCGCAGATGGTCTCCCCTGTCGACTATCAGTGCAACAGTAGTGTCTGGTCCCAAGACAAGTGGAAGGGTCAGTTCCGTGTTCGTTGGATATACGTGAAGGATGTTCCTAATGTGCAACTACGACACATTAAGCTCGAGAACAATGAGAACAAGCCGGTGACCAATTCGCGAGACGCACAGGAGGTCCCACACGCGAAAGGCGTCACGGTGTTGCGTATTCTGCATACCTATCGGCACTCTACGAGTATCTTTGATGATTTCGGGCATTACGAACGCCGACAGGCCGAGGAAGATCAGCGTAAGGCTCCAAACAACGCCATACAGCATCATCATTCTTCCTCCAATCACAGGAACAGAGGACATGCGTCGGATATGTCCAGGGATCATCATCAGCATGGTCATCAGTCTCACCTGCATCAACGCAAGGTAGAAAAAAAATCTTCGAACGGAACTATCATTTGCTTCCGATCATTTAATGGAACATTATTTTATTGCAGGAACGCGGTGGTCGTAGTGGCAGAGGAAGTTCACGTCAGTAGCGTTGGATATTGCAGAGACGTAATGCTGTTAAGAAGAATAATCGATGTAAAGGAAGCACGCTACGACTAATAATCACGTCCTACCACTTACCTTTGCTTTCCCGAATTCACAATGGGCTTCTTCTGATTTCCTGTGACCGAACATTCGTTGTCGACCTCGACCGCGTTGTTCTTTCGTTGAAATGATTAATCCGATAATCAGATAACACTAGCATTGCGTCAGCGTCATCGTAAAATAATATATAACCGCGACTTACAAGGAGGAGAAGGAGAAAGAGAAGGAAGAGGAGGAAAGGGAGAGAAAGGAAAAGGATAATACACTATTTCGAAGAATATTTGATTAAACTCGCTGACGATTATAAAGCATATAGTGTGGTGTTGCGTGCTATTCATCGAAAGGTGTTTCTTAAACGTACAAATCATAAAATGGGACAGAAAACAGAGAAAGGGAGGAGGAGGAGGAGGAGGAGAAGGAGGAGAAGGAAGAACGAAAGAAAGAAGACGCGGTATAGAAGAAAGAAAAAAAATAAATAAACTGTAATATGTGGACTAATCCTTGTAAAATGCTTAAACTTTTGTTGAAAATGGAAAAAAAATCTATACGAGAACATTATATTATAAACAAGTGTCATTTGGATTGGTTAGATATCGTTTTAAATACCAATGAACATTCAATCTGGTGCCTGCAGCTCGACAGAAGGGTCGAAAATTCCCCCTTAATTGTTAACAAGGTGCAGGGGCTTGTTACAACGTTCTCAGTTGTATTTATAATCATCATGCTTCACAAAATGAATTATACAGAAAACTATTGGCGTTTATTTTAGCGCGTATTCTATATCTGTATTGCGAATATATCATCTATTATTATATTATGGACTACAGAAAAATGAGTTGATAATATAACAAGAAGTGAAATAATATTGCAATTAATCTATTGTAATGTACACGATGACGACGATCATTATTGTACCATTTGATGACATTTCATGAGATATTCTTATTGTTAAATGCATCTCTGTTCTCCACTTTTTTCATTAGATGATAGAATGTCCTTTGCAACGATGGCGACGATATATTACGAGTGATACTGAATAATATAAACGAATTCATCAGAGAGAGAGATCAATATAAGAATGACTTTTCTTTTAACATTAAAATTTAATAAATATATTATTCCTTTCTAATTAAGAGATATTTTAAATCTTAAACTTCATAATTTTATAAAAATTTATGTAAAATTAAAAGTTAAATATTTAATTTTGTATATTTTTCATAAAATTGAAAATAAAAAATGCAATTTTTAATATATTGTTTATTGAGTGCTATCTTATAGCATTCAACTAAACAATTATTTTGATAATTTGACATTTTTCTTTTAATTAAAAGGAATCAATTGTATAAGTTTTTTTAAAACAATTTTTTATCAAGTCACAGTATTATTATTCAGAATTGCTCTGTATATAGGACAATGCTATTTTCGTAAAAGACAAGAAAAATTATTTATAAAATTTATTAGCAAACCTGATGGACTTGAATTGATATTGAAGACGCTGATAAAATCATTTATGTGTTAATAGATTAATTAAGCCGTCGTTAATTTTTTACCATAGTCATATCGGATTCTTTCATACATTCGCTTGCGCTAACATCATTCTCGATATCGTTTTTTGCGATTACGTTATTCGCAAGAAGCTTTTGTTCGTCCTCCATTTCTTGTATCTTTTTAGCTTCGATGTTTATGTCGTCCTGTAGCATGCCTTGCTGTAAGAAATAATTGCGCAGATTCTCCTGGACTTCCTGACTGAATCTATCGCGATTCGCTTCGACGTAACGATATACGAACAGATCGGCACCGGTAATGATGAAGCGATGGTTGAACACGTTAATGCGCGCGCCGATGAAGAAATCCTGCGGCGTGTAATATTCTGGATTAATGTTTCCTGTACTGCATGGTTTCGGAATCAGCCTGGAGGATAGGAAGCAACCCTCGCGTCGGCCAGAATTACGCTTCTCAATTTCGTTGATTTGAATAGTACCATCGCTCAAACTGTACACCAGTATGAAATCACGGTCCTCGTCTTCTAGGTGCACCGTATCCATTCGCGCGGAATAACGTAGCTTCTTCGGGAAATTTGCCAACTGACGAATAAGGTTCTTCTTAGGTGGCTTCGGTATAAGTGATAGACTAGCGTATGTGTCCTCGGGACTACCGAACTTTATGTGCGGGGGAATCTCGAATTTCACCAGTTGCTTTTTCACCCTCGCGGGTATCGGAATCGCGTCTGGTTGCGGTGTACCCAACATGTCAGAATAATACTTACGCGTAAAGGCATCGCAATCATGTAGCAGAAAATGTCGACCGAACAAGAGAATTGTTTCACCTACCTGGGGAAAATTAATAATATGTTTTTAAACTTCTTTTTTCCTCAGAAAAAATATTTAAATATATATTTTATTGAGTTTAGATTCTGCCTTGAAATTAAAAGTGTTAAGTGTTTTCACATTATTAATTTACATATTTCTTTTGTGAATTCGGCATTATTTTGATATATGAATTTTTAATCTCTTGCTTGATTTTTGATTTTTTTTGATCCAACAATTTTTAAATTATTTACGATTAAATGATATGAAAAATGATATAAAAAGGTTTTAATTTAACTTTTACTTTTTTAATTTTTCAATCCTACTTGATACATTTTATTTAATTGTTATATTTACGAAGCAATATGTAAAATCGTACTCTAAAATCTTGTGGCGAATAGTACTCCACAATCTCGGGATCCCCGTATTCCATGTAGATACTAGGGTGCCAGGACGGCAAATTCTGCCAATTTTTGGGGATACGCATTCGCTTCAACAGCATCGCCACAGGGTCTTTGCCGTTGTTGGGTCCGTGAATTTCCCGGATTGCTATGGTGTCATCTGTAAGGAAGTACATCACTCGATAGTGATCGCCGTTCCACGTGGCATCAAACGACAGTATCATGTTGTCGTATTCTAAAAAACGTCTCCTAGAATCGTCCACTATCCGTGTAACTGTCAACGGCATTCTACGCTTGGCATCACGCTGTTCCGTATAGGGATCCGCAGGAAGACTTTCCTTTTCACCAACATCGATGCCTTGACTCGTCAGGAATTCTCTGGTGAACGGGTCACAGTCAACGATGTGATAAACCACACCATAAATGCCTGCGAGAGGTATAATGCGAAATATATGGATGATAAATTTAATCTACTATTTCCATAATCCTTTGTCCGACTTAAATTTCGAAGAAATTTTAAATCACTGCATAATTAAAACAGAAAAATATTTTATGCTAAAAAATGCTGCTAAACAGAAGGAAAAATAGGCGGAGAATGTGGCTCTCAATTGTCAATAACGTACACACGTCGATCCCTACGTTAAAGTCCTTCCAGATGAATAGATCTCCCTTGGCATTTTTTGGGATTTTGTCGCGTCTGACCAACTTGCCTTGTTGAAAACCGGCATTGTCTACCACGGGTTCTATTACGCAGAGCGTGTCATCTTCCAAGTAGTAAATAATATCTACGTGACGGACGCGATAGTGTTCGTCCGGAGAGTTGAAGACTCCTTGGCGGAAGAAAGCTTTGAAGCGTAGACATTTCTGCGCAAATAATGCGTAATGCGGGACAAATTGCTGATATACGTAGCGAGGAGCCCGACCATAAGTCAATGATATATCATATCTGTCAATAAAAAATAAAATTACTTTAATGGCTATTAAATAATAATAGCGATTAATACATGTACACAAAGTATAAGATTTAAAAGACACTCTGCTATCATCTATAACATACATACATAATTTAATATGTGTACATATATTAAACATAATTTAACATATATATGAGATAGATATTTTCAAAAATTTATGTGAAGATTTGATCAAAACGTATAGATAATTTTACACTCGTGAATACAAATTATTTTAAGTATCCTAAATTAGAAAATCACACAATGGATGGAATATAAATATATTGTACGCATAATTCGAACGCTTAAATTAAGGATCGTAAAACAATTAATTTCAATAATTTTAATTCTGTGCGTGTATATAATATGAATGTGACATAGCTTTTAATCAGGAAAATTCACAATTACTCACTCTATGGGATCTGGTCCTTCGGCGTATCGAGTGGATGCTGTGTCTGTCAATCTCCTCCCAATGCCGTAATTGGTATCGCATATCACTGGGAAGCCATTTAAAATGTCGAGCTTATGCGGCAATTTATAATCCTTGACCTTATGAAACGATGAGAAGTTCAATACAACCCCATTAATCACTAAAGCATCAATTCGGAAAACTATACCCCTCGAGTATAAAATTGATTACCCACGCGATTCTTCCAATTATAATTTTCTCGATGACGTGAGAATAGAGGGCGAGTTTACAATTATTCGAATACTTACACTAATATCTCGAAAAATGTATCCTGGTAAAAGAGGTAAACTTGCCATATCGATAACAAAATATCACATAGAAAGAGCCAAGAACGATTCTTTGGCTAGGCTATCATGTTCACTGTCATGTCGATCGACTTAAAACACTTGTTTACTTGATTCAAGATTCTGTTTAAATGTATCTCTATAACAACGCGACTATCTATCGATTTAATCCCTCGCATTGCTATATGGCTAATCCTCTCGCGGAAAAGATCTGGATTTTTCTGGATTAACTTAAACTTGAAAGGAAAAAACGCAAACGAATGTTTCTCTGTTTGACCATTTATTTGTTCAGAACTTATTGACAACAGTAGTATTTGGATGATTTTCTGCGTTTAATAACGCAGTTCGGTCATTCGCTACTGCAAAAGATCACAAACTAATTATCTCGCGGAAAATGACCATGCAACCGGCGGACAAACAGCCGGCCATCGGTACAGTGATCAGCCATGCGAACGCGATATTGCGAAATAGCTTCCACGACACCCCCTCGCCACCTCGCGAGGCCCATCCTACGCACACCACCGATCCTACTTTGCAGTGTGTCGTTGACACGGGCAAACCAATTTTACTTGCCAACAGGACCGTCACCGCGGCACCCACCTACAATCAAGAGAAGACAATTAAAAATTTCATATCCGCTTAACATTATAAAATAAATAATCAAACGGTCAAACAAAGAGAAAAATTATTTGAAAACACTCTATATCGGTTAAAACTCGATATTTACTTAAGAAATTAATCTTGTTGATTATCTCTCTCTATGAATATGTGTAACGAAGAGGTAGAAAAGAATAGAATATTTTGAAAATTTATTTTTTTGAATGCATTTGATATTCATTATATATTACATTAATTTTATTACATATATTTCAAAGAGAGAAAAAGATAATAAAATCTCGCGATGCATTGCACGTAATTAATTCTAATTACTGTTATGAAAAAACATGTCATAAATTTATGTGCATTTATATTTAAATAGATAACACAAAGTACTTTTTTGCATAATAAAAATCGGGGATTGAAATGATTAATTCCGTTTTCTGGATAATAAAAATGTCAACTTCAAATCGCGCATTTACCTCTATAGTGAATCCAGTCGTAGGAGTGATGCGTGCCAGGTCCTGACCCAACGTTCGTATCACTCTGCGTCCCCATACCCATAATCCCGTAGAAATACCTAGGCCGCCATACAGCAATATGAGTATAGGTGTTTCGGCTTCCTGTCGAGCCGAGCCCTCCGCGTATACCGCCCAGAGCGCGATCAGAGGCCCTATCGCGTTGCTAACGTCGTTGCCGCCGTGCGCGAAGCTACCGAACATCGCGGTGAGCACTTGAAGAAAGGCGAACAACTTCGATACTTCCGGTTGTTCTTCGTCCTCTACTATTCCGTCCATCTGTGCGTTCTCCGCTTCCACTTGGGCGACCATCAACAACGGACTTTCGCTACTATTACCGCGCAACTTCGGCGCTAGGTCGGGTTTTGCGTTACCGTTACTGCTGCCGCCGCAAGGAATCTCCGAGATTACTGACAACGCCGTCGTTTCGCTGTTCTCTTGGCAGGGGCCAAAGTGCGCCGTCGTCGTTGTCGTTGCCTTCTCGTCGCTGCCGCTCGATGCTAAGAGTATTCTCATTCTCTGCTGTGGCACCACGAACATGTACACGATCATCGCAACGAATGCGCCTATCAGCAATGCAGCTATCAAGCTACCCCACCATGGCATCTTGTCCAGCATTAATACTAAAAAATTTTTTTAAATATATCTTCAATGAGAGGAGACCAAGCATTGTTCCGTACGCTTTTAGAAATGTATCGTAATGTATCATAATATAACGAATCTTGAAGTAAAATGACATTTTTTTATTCCTTCAAATACTCACATTTAGGTCCATCGAGCAGAATTGACATAATATTAACAGTAACGGTCAGACCGTATACTATAGGGAGAATATTAAGACCTTGTTCAAACGGCTTATCAGACTGAAGCACGGATTTTCTCAGGATCCAAAAGATACTAGCAGACACGATCCCGCTGAGTAGAGGGCTAGCGAACCATGATGCCGCTATGTTTGCAAGAGCTATCCATTTTACCTGTGATATTAATAATTAATTAATAATTATAATAGAATTATTACATTTACATAGACTACGTTATATAATGCAATCGCAACTCATTGTGGTGCTACTAACCCCGGCGGTACCTCGGCACACGAGCGAGAATCCAACTGTAGCACCAACAATGGAATGCGTACCGGAAATTGGAAGTCGTAATGCGGTAGCCAACAATAGCCAGATACCCGATCCGGCTAGACTGGACAATGCTCCTAGCATCAACTCCTTCTCGTGGCCCTCGTATAACGAGACATCCAGTATACCCTTTCGCATTGTGTCAGAAACCTGTAATGGAGAGATAAATGTCAAGAACAGTTTTCAAGAATTGAATCTATTTCTATTACAACTACATATTCTACGTATGTGTTGTTTTGTTTTTTATAATTTTTTTCTATTTATAAAATAATCATTCAAAAATTGATGTCATCTATTTACTAGATAGGATACTTGCCTTATATCCTATTAGAACGGCACCAGCAATCTCAAAGATGGTTGCCAGGATACAGGCTTGGAATATCGTGAGCACTCCGGCACCGACACTCGTCCCGAAGCTATTGGCGACATCGTTGGCGCCGATGCCGAACGCCAGTACGAATGCCACTATAAAGCCGACCACTACTATCCAGATTAAGTTCTCATCGTACGGTATACTCATCGTTCTAACTTAAATCTATTCAGCTTGAGCTTTCGATGCGTGTGTTTGTTGCGTGTCGTATGCTTCTATGCGTTTATCCTCCTACTACATGTGCGCATCCGTCAAAAAATTGATAGGCATAAATTATCATTCTTTCTCATTTTTTCTCTTTAAACGCTTCCATAACAAATAATGTCAATCGACTTCTAAGGATTTCATAGCAAGGAAGAGTCTATCTCTTTTCTGATACAGAACTTTATATTAATACTGTATGTAAACGCTTATCCATCAGAATATATATTCTTTTTATATATACTTGGATGAATTGTGTGTATATATATATATATATAATTCTTTTATAATATAATAATGTATCTATATCTTTTCATTGTAGTCCTAATACGATCAATTCTTCAATACTTTTGTACATGTAGCAGAGGTAGTGTTTTGGCGCAGCACCTGATTTATCTAACATGGTGATGATTTCATCACACATTCGCACTTCGTCGATACACAACAGGATTCGAAAATCGAGCTAATTTACTCGAAGAAACGGGGAAGGTTACAGGCTGACTATTCTCGTGACAATCGTCGTGCTCTTCATCGGGTCGAGATTGTGACGTGCAATTTTTGTGTCGTTTTGACGCTCCTCTATCAGCGTTTTCCTCATGTGGAAACACGCCGGTCGCTGCATTCCCCGCATCTGCAAATGCAAGAACAATTTCATCAATTATCTCAGTCATAATCTATCGTAGATGATACACAATTTTTATTAATGTCACAATTCCTACAAATTTCTTACGACTATACAAAATGTGTGTTTTAAATCTGGACAAATTTGTCTTCTATAATTTTTTCATCGATAGATTTTTGTTTCGTATTACTCTTTTCAAAAAGAACAAGAAATGAAAAATTTTCCAAATGATAAAACTTCAAACAGAAATCGTAGAATATTTTAAAAAATCGCATATTTCGTATATTTTAATAAACTGGGTGTATTAGAAAATAAAAACTATAGACGATAAAAAAAAGTAAAATACATTATTATTTTGCACTTTTGAGCAAAATTGAAAAAAATTTTTTATAAAAATTTTAAAAAAGAATTTGAAATTTGTCATTTAATTAATTCGAATTTTAGCCAATTCAGGATTTTATAACAAGGATATTTGGTTTTTAGTAGAATAGATTTTTGATTGCTTTAAGTTGCGACATTTCTCCTTCCAAATTATAATACTATCGGTTGACGGGACCGGCTGAATGCAGTATTGCATGCACTCCTATTATTCGATCGTTATACCTCAACTAATTTCTCCCTCCCTCCCCGCTCTCTTTTTCGTTGCCACGAGATTCTGACGATGTTCTTGCATTCTTCCACGTTCTTATATCTCACTTTTTTTCTGACACTATCCAGAATTTTCGAAATCTCATCCCGAAAAAGCGAACATTTGGCGACAACGAGCCAGACGAAAATGATCGAAGCCGCCTAACTGGCACCCTGTGCAACTTTCAACGCGACCCCTGAGTCATCCACCACAATTCGATCCTCGAGCCATATAGCGACACGAGAACCGATAGCATATTGGATTTTAAACTACACACGAAATTTCTTTTCAAATATTCTTTTCAATCTCCTCGAAACACTACATTCTCGCAAGAGTGAAATTTATTAAATGTAAAAAAATTCCAACCCCACACTACTTTCGTTAACTGGCCGAGTATTCTCGGCCAGATTCGGAATCGATTTTCGATCGATGTATAAACGAGAAAAATATTACGTAATCGTGTTACTAATTAACTCTTTTCCTCGATTTTTATCCCGATGGAAACGATCGCCGGGTGCGAAGCAACAGTGACTAACGGATCGAATCCTCCACCGGTTCCAAGTGTTCCACGCGGAGGAAAATGACCGACTACGAATCGCGATCGAGTTCGATGAATTTGAGCTGACTTAATATCAGGGAGGAGATTCAATTACCACGCTCTGAATCATTTTTCGTGCTGACCAGTACTCGCCGTGTCCTTTAGCACGTTGCTGGCGGAAAGTCGGTGGTCACGCGGGCTCATTCGGCAGGAACGAGTTCGCTCGCATTCGAGGGAGACACTCGCGTTTAGTAGGATCGCCAGCGATCAGAGGAATTACTAGTAGCAACACCGCAACACTCTTGCTGTCCACGAAAACGACATGAATCACAACGGCGTTCTTGAAACTTTGGCAGCCGCTCGTTCTTCTCGCTTCTCGCTTCTCGCCGATGCCGCTCGGCTTAGGTCCGCGTGGGGGTGAGATATTGATCCGTCAATTTGCCCGCGAAACGCGTGCCGCACGGGGGATGATGCAACTCAATGACGATCAATGGACGATCTCTCCGACGACTTGTTCGATCCGGTCGAATGTCGCTGCAGCTCTCCTATTGGCTTTTTTTTTTCTCGTTTTCTCGGATATCCGGTATGCAAAACGATTCGCAAGTCCACAGATACTAGGAAACAAATCGAATGGAGCATTAGTCGTTTTTCGAGCGCTAGAATTATAGAGGAAGCTCGAAAAAATTTTAATTCGAGGCTTTTTATAAAAATATTTAATGTAAAAAAAAAAATATATATATAGAGAACGATTTCTATTTTGCATTTTTCCTGAAAAAATCTTGAATAGATAAATGTATTTATTATATTACTGTGTAATATAATGCGACTTTTAAAAATCTCATGTAATAAGAATATTTTTTAGATATTTTTACATGACCCTAAAAATTTTAATATATTTTATATGTAAGATTAATTAACGATTGAAATTATACTTCCTTAGTGTTTTGTAAATCTTTTCTCTTTTAAATATTCATATTGATTTCCAAATAGAATATATTTTTATAACAAATGTCAAATGTTTTATCAATATTGTAAATTTTGTAGACACACATAGTCATCTCATTATTTCATTATCTCTATTCATAACATCGTTCCAAGTTTTATTTTCTTCTTGCTTAGAAGCAGAACTTGATGGAATGTGTCAATTGAATTAACATCTTATTGTTTAATTATCACATGTATCAGTTTAAATGACTAAGAACATACACTTACATAAGGGACATTAAATAAGCTGCAAACAGATATGAAAACCGACAATAAAATTACAACAAATTCTATTGCTACATGCAATGTATACTTTTTCAGCGATGATCCTCGCGTATATTCACAACTCAATATTATTTAATAATTCTCATGTAACAAGTTACGAATTATTTAAGATACACACATCATCATAATTAAATAACATGTAATTATTCTATTAATTACTGTAGCATGTCATGTTATTTCTGTTTTTTCATGATTTAGTTACGGATTTATTTATCTTATTTGGATTTATATCATTACTTGTAAAAGTGATTGCTCAAGGAAATAGATGGACGTTGTAATGCACAGGACATCACTTAAAAAGAGCCAAAACTTGTTTGCTGTATATTTATAACTGTTCAAGAAAGCGGATGTATATATTTATTTAATATCCATTCATCTTATGTATATGCAAATTAGTTCTTCTAGAGAAGTGTGCATTAAAGAACGAATAGATTTTATTATATTACTATAATAACCATTATGTTAAACTACACTTTACGATGCCTCCCAGTTTTCCCTCTCTTTACGCTCTTTTATAACTTCATCAACATATGGCCGAAGATACCTGATATCCTGCAAAAAAATATTTCTCTGTTAGTCAAGGAAACTTCAGATCAATTAATATATCAATCAATTAATGTTTACTGACTTCTTCCATCTTAGTCCATTGTTCCTGGGGCAGAATTCTTTTACAGGCATCCAACTGCATGGCTCTTATTATACGAAAAGCACGTTGATCCTTGATTTCTTGAGGAAGACGTCTCAATGCTTCTACTACATCATCATTTTCATGAAGTAAGTCATCATGCCATAATCCTGAATAAAAATTATTTTATTTTATAATAAAATTTAATCTGATTGTATACAGGTATAATTTCTACACAGTTGGAATAATCTACGAACAAATTAATTGTGCTTATGATT